TTTCGGCTGGCCACTTTCTCTCCCCTTTGCTTCCTTTTTCAATGTCCGGACCGTACTGCGCATTTTGCACAGACTTCCGATGCGCTCGACCCGCACACGAGAAGGCCCCGACGACCGACACAAAGAAAAAAAGAGTAGAAATTGCGCGTTGCAGCATGAGGGGCGCAAATAGCGCGAGCAAAGAAAATGAGAGGGAGGCGAAGTTTCTCGGAGCTGAAATATTAAATAGACGAAGAAAAGGGAGAGAAGAGAGATAGAGAGAGGGAGATAGAGCAGTAATTACGAGAGGCTTTCTACTCGTCTGGTTTTCGCATCGACTCGTTGCTCACGATGATTAATAATTGAATATCCTTGATAGCCTTGTGCTACGCTGAGCGTGCCGGACGAGTAATAAAAACTCGACGGCCCGGTAATTCATTTCGTTTTAATTATACGCCCTGGCGAAAAGCCGTCAATGTATTTTCGTGTGCCGCAGTGAGTAGCTGCTCTATGGATTATCTGGGATTTCTGCGAATTTTTTACGCGGATGACGATGACAGTGGGTCTACTTTGTTCGGATGATATTTTTTGCTATATTCCGATGGTTTTATTGCGATGTCGAGTGATATTTTTTTTTATTATCTATAAACTGACAGTCAATTGAGTGTAAATTACAATAATCATTTAAGATATTTAACGAATTCATAAAATTGATTGAGTAGTGTTGAAGTAGAAAAGGTACGCGTTTAGTCAGCCATTATCAAATCGACTCGTAATTACTCCGATGTAAAAACATTCTCGAATAAAAAGAGGGAACGATATCGCAGAATTATTTTTAAATTTTAAAAGAAATTTCTTGTTGGTCTAAAAGTATTTTCTTGTTGTATATTATGTGTATAATCATAAATTCTTCCAATCGGCTATATAAAAATACCGAACCGCAAAATGTAATGCTAAGAACATTAAAATACACTTAACACCCGTAATAAATTTGTTGGTACTGTCATTAAGTTAATCGGATCAGATTACGTTATAACTATTGCGGAAACCGCCAAAGTCCTTTCCCAATGCGTTTTTGCGCTTTAAGAGATACGGGACGGGGCGTGCCAGCCGACTTCCGACCGCAATCGCTTCTGTCCTTCGGTCAGGCTTGACGTTTTTTTGTTGACCACATTGGCACCTTGTGCTAACGTTTTTACTTGCATTAAAGCACGAAGACGTCGAAAATGAGTGAATAAAAGAGATTTTTCCGCGTAGTACGTATTGCAAACTTTGTGTCTTATTCTAGACATACATTTTTTAATAAACTAATAATTTTTTAATAAAATAATAATTTTTTAACACGTATATTGAGATGTTTATAATTTCATTATTTGCAAAAAAGTTTTAAATATTGTGATTACATTTTAAACAAAATTCGACATATAACTAAAACTTAGAAGCCTTATTATCAGTAAAATTAAATTGGTTGTCGTGAAATAAAGTGAAGCATGTGAGATAAACTCGAAAGGTCGTAAGTCCGGAAAAGTTTTCGATGGTCTTCGTCAAAAGTTTCTCGTGACAGGAATAATTTTTCGTCGTTGTCAGTATCGCGTTCAATCGCACCCTTTTCTTTGACTTATTTCTAGTCGTGGTCATCTCCGTGAAACGTTTTCTCAAATGAAATGCCCCATACGCACACAAAGGTCATCGAACTCGAACGCGAGAGTTGTAAGAAGATGATAAAGTATGAAAGAACTCGAAGTATTTAGCTCTTTATAGTTTGAAACTTATTCCAGAGTTGAAAGAGAGAACACGGTACTTTGATGTTTCGTTATGAATTGAGAAATTAAGGTAGATCTTATCGTACGAAAATATTACACAAAATAAGGCTCTAATCAGTATGCGTTACATAATAAAATCTACAGTAGAAATTCGGAAAATAAAATAACACGCAAACGTATGACACTACATGAAGTAAGTGATTCGTCCGTTTTCTTTTATGCATTTTCATAAAAGGAAAAGTCCAAAGAAAATAAAGCAATCCAAAAGTATCGATATAGACATTATTATTTTCAAGACAAAAGCGAATGGAGTAAAATGCCGAGAAACTGAAGAAAAAGGATAGAGAAGGGAAGAAAAAGCGGACGCGTTCGCGTCTTCCTTTTCCATATCCACTTTGCCTTAGCACTCGCGCGACGAGCTTAACTTTTCTTGAAAACTCGACGGCGGCTCACAATTCACCGCTGCCTTATTTTTTCTCTCCGGAGTCTGAGGCTGTCAGGAAGATGAGGAATCTTAACGATTAATTTCGCGAAATTCCCTACGGGACAACGATGACGAGCCATGGATGATTCTCTTCAATATCTGTGAAGAGCCCACGCGAGATTGCCGAAGCTTTTTTCTTTTTTCGCTCTCGATGCTTTACGCGAGTCAGCGTTGGGAAAAAATGCGATCTGCCAGACTTACTCGGATAAAACAAACGAGAGTTTCCAGTAGGATTTTTCGAAGATTTGCAATTTCATACTTGACTTTTCTGGCTGCTGAAAAAACTTAGATTTTGCAGAGTTTTGCTTTAAGCTGATGCACCTTTATCGAGCGAAACCAGTAGTTCTATTTAAGATACATTTTATTAAAAATAGTAGAATATCTCGATATTCGATCAGACACCTTATAAAGATTTTTGTTCGATTATTATCGTTTTACATAATTTGAAATTTCTAGAATTTGCCATGAACTTATTAAAATTCAAGGTTTTTCTTTACTAACAGTATGCCACACGATAACAGGCTCAACCCCGAATAAATAAATCCATCCTTACGAGAGAATTATATACATACATATCGGCAAAAGCAACAGTATAGTTATCATGGTAAGTTATATCTAATTATTGTACGTTGTTGGATAAGTCGATTTTGACATCTCTGTCGTCGTATTTGTTGAATGTTTATTTTTTTCGGTAGCAATATAGACGAAAGTACGAGCCTGCACACTCTTGGTATGCGCTTCTGCCCACTCGGTGATGTTAATTAAGGGAGAGAAAGCGCATACCAGCACATTTTCATAGTCATACAGAAAAAAATCCACGTATACTTTGTGGGGTGGCTTCGTTGCGCGACGGCGAAGAAAATCAAGCTTGTTAGGGTGCTTTCGGCTGCACACTGTGCTTCAAGTTGTACAATCGTTGGTATATATGAAAAGACAGAATCTTGTGAGAGCGGCTGTGGGTGTGTATGTGTATGTGTGTGGGAGGTGAAAAAGAAAGGTCGAGAGCGTTAGAGCTCTGGCAGGAAATGGGCTAGTGGAGGAGTGAATGTATGTCGCTATGATCTCTCGCGATGGATTCAAAGCTTTACTGACGCGCTGTTGTATGTATGTGTGTATGACGGAAATGTGGAGCTTGTGAGCCTTCTCTGAATGGAGTAATCGTTATATGCAAGCTGGAAAGCTCGAAAAAAAAGTTCTAGAATATCAAGTGGCTTCTTTGTTTCGTATCTTACGTTTCGCTCCAGTGTCGCACACGTATTTGTGTTTTCCTTTGCCGAAAAAGTATCGAAAAATTATTGTCAATTAAAAAACGAATTGATATGTTACGGTAAAGCAGAATTGAACAGTTATTTTTGCGATAGAGAAGTATGATTAAAATGAGTCCAAAGAACGCGTGTATATCCAGCATGATGGATTGTTGGACTAGACAAAAGCATTGTATAATCCAAAAGTCAGGGTGTACTTCACGTGTTCACGTAAAAAAAGGTGCAACGGTGTTTGGTGGGTGATGATAGTGGTAGTGGTGTGTGTCTCTTGCTCGTAAAAATCCGTGCAAGGGACATTACTATATTTTTTTTTTTGACCTGAAAAAAGAAAGGGAGGAAAGAGAGGAGTATAAGGGAGAGACGAAAAAGAGAGAGAGCTATGTGTGTCGCGCGTGAGCGCATCTTGAGGAAGCATAGAGTGCAGTAAAAAAATTGTATGTGAGAAAGAAACTGGCGGGAGAAAGGAAAACAAAAATTTTGAGGAGATCAAAGAGAGACAGAGAGAGAGAGATAGACAGAGAGAGAGAGAGGGAAAAATATGTGTGCACATGGGTATATGACAAAATCTATCGCAATACGGCTAATCTTCTTTTTTCCTCGCTATTATTTTTGCAAGGGCAGCGCTTTTTTCTGTCAACGATCGGCGTGCGCTGTTGCTGCATCGCAGTCATTGACGCCTCAGCGACGGCTTAATCTCGAGGAGAGCTTTGACCCTCTCCTCATTTCTCCGAGTGAACTGGAAACGGAGATGCGCTGCAGCAGCCTCGAGAGGTTGCGATTTAACTGTGCACTTCATTATCATTATTTTTATCTTTTTAAGCTCCGCACTTGTTTATTCTCTTTTTTAAATGTTTACTTTTTCATTACATAATGCCGCCATGCTTGTGTACATCTCTACCGTTGAAAATTAAATTACTTTTGCATAATTTGAAATTCTAAAGAAAAATGCTAAATTAATATAATTTTTTACTTTAACATTGAATAATAAAAGTAGTTACTGCCGCGGTGGAACTTCAATTTCCGAAAAATCAACAGACCACTGCGTAATTTCCCATGAGAGTAAACATCTCGCGCGTCGAATATGTAATACAATGCGCGGGGCAAAAAAAGAAAAAAAATGTGCGAGGGTGCGCGGGGGAAAAAAATTTTTTTTTTGGTCGTCGAAAAGAACCAACAAGCGACTGCATTTTCCCACTTCATCCTCTGTGCCACTACCGCATCGCTAATTGCAAGAGCAAACACACACATACACATACGACGCGGAGAGGAGGAAGGCGTGCGCACACGTACGCGTCAATGACTGCGAGCTTCCTGCAAGACGTCGAGTACCATTGTTCAAGCCAACAATAATATGCGCACAGAGTAGCAGTGCCTGCTTTCCCAAGTAAAATTGGCAGTGAATAATGGCTTTCGATCGTTAAAAAAGTTGCTGACGAGACACGAAAAAAAACCCGATCACTTGCTTTTTGTAGCATGTTCAGTTGACGCTCATTAGCTATGGATACTTACAACTCTCGATTTCAATATTACAAAGTTGTCGGTCCATCGGGAAGTACTGCAGATTCATTGGACACGACGCTGTGATTGTTAATCTGGAAAATCACATATAAATGTTTGGTTATTTATCTTGCAGAAATTGTAAATGAATCATTTATTATTAGCATTTGTCATTTGTTGATCATAAGTTACTGTAAGATTTCTGTGGTTTTTATTTTATTCTCAAATCATGCAAGCAGACGATAGACAGTACTAGTCGACTGCATAATTACATATAAAACTAATTTGATTGTTGACCGTAAGGCAGAATCAGTGTAAAACTGAACATATAAGCCACAGGCATTGTTTCAATTACGAAATCCTCGAACGTAAATAATGCCTCGTGAAAATCGCGTAGAGGGCGCGTACGCGTTGTGCGCACCATGCACCGCCATCGAAATCCCCCGAAGCCAAACGCCACCGCTGAAATGCACGTAGTGGTATTAAGCGAGCGGCGCGCGAGGCTTGCATGCAAATCAATATTACCAGCGTATACGTAGTTTGAGGTGCCAGACTCTTGAGAGACAATCCAATTTTGGTGGTCCTCTCTGCAGCAATGTAATCTCGCTCATCATTATTTCGCTACCCCTCCCCTCCTGCCACCAGTGTAAATATATTCCGTGGAGCTAATGGCTGAGCACCGCGCGCGAACGACACACGTTGGGGGAAATAAGGGCTCTATTGGATTTTCACTGTGAAATTTCGTTACCGAGCGACGCTTGTATGTACATAGCCGTGTAGGATATGGCGATAAATTGAAATTTACGTGCGTTGGACCCCCGAGGGCTCAGTTAATTTTTCACAATTGTTCGCGATCGGCGCGTTTTGGTTGCAAGCCATAACAAATACTGCTTTCGCCGACGGGATGCGAACGTTTCGTCCGGATAAATGAAGAAAAGCATACCTTTCGCCGGGTGGCGTAACGAAACGCGACAAGTCGGTTGAAAATTGCGAAAAGAGAAAGAGCGAAATAATCGAGGCGGTCACTGATGAAACCCAGATAGAGGCGCGGAATCGCCTTCGCGCGCAGTCAAATTTACATTTGCGTCTCTCCTTATTTCAAACTTTATTTCTGCTGCGTAGTCGTGACCCCACGATACGCGGCTTTTCACCAAATCAGCATGTTATAAACTTTTCTCTGCATAATTCATCTCATCTCGTTGACAATATCGCCTAACTTCCTTTTTTTCAGCGGCTATATCTCGCGGTTATTAAAGTGGGAAATCGTGTTGATGAAATGATAAGAAAATGAAAGTTTAACCGTGAATAATTGTACCTGACTTTGTGAATGTATACCTGGTGAGAGTTTGGAAAGCTTCGTGCGAAGTATAACTCGTTAATTTCTGTTTTTGAATGAGAGAAACTTGGATTTTCTTTGCCTAACGATTTGTTATTGAAACTCCATTACTCGTAAAAGAGTTTTACCAAGTTTTGAAAGTTCGCGTCTTTTCGAATCCCGTATTTGTAGTACTTAATTGAATATATTTCATCCGAATGTTTGCCATTGATAAACTAATAAAACAAAAATCAACGAACGACCGGCGAATAAATATTCAAGCGATAAAAAGAACGTAAGCAAATCACATTCACGCACTGTGTCGAAAAATCTTCACGAAAAAAAAAGACAAGAATAACAAGGAAACTGTTGAACCAATCAAAAAGTTACACAAAGAATAGTCAGCAGCGTAAAGCTCTGATTCGAAAGGGGACAACATCGCTTACAAATACAAACCGAATTCGCTCGCTCGCTCGCTCGAGAGAGCAATCAAGGCTTGGCGTGCGTGGCGCGAAAGTGGTCTTGATTCGTGGCCTAGGCAGTTATACGGTGTGGTGTTTCCGGTCAATACCGAAATCAGTAACGAACTAGCGGCAGCGACGCCGCTCCCAATCAAACGATTTGCGGCGCTCAATCATCGTTTTTTGAATTGTTTTTTTTTTTTTGACCTCCGCGTACGACCTTTCTTGATTTGATTCATTCGTCCGTGCGGCGAGCTTTTTTCTCTTCTTTATTTGGTTGCTGGCATGTACCGAGCAAAGAAAAAAGCCTCTTGACATCTTCTCTCACTTCAAGACGTCGATACTACTTGACTGAGCGACTGGTCGACACTTATTGTTTGGCTTTGTTTGTGAGGTACGCGGACATCTAACTTTTACGATTGCACTCTTTTGAGTAGTTCTTTGTTCTAGAACTTGAAGAGTATATCGTGAATTTGGCTTTGCTAAACTACTTTAGTATCAGGATTTTTTTAATTTAATTTGGCAAAGGTAAGATGAGAGATTTTATTGCTATTATTTTAATGAGATTCATTTTATATACGTATTATCGATTAAGAAATGGTAAGTCGTTAGATTTGATGAAAGAAAAGATACAATGTTGACTGACAAGTTTGTAAAGGCTAGAGTTGATGAAAAGTACACACTGCAACTGACTTTTTTTAAATTAAAATTTAGTTCATTTTTTAATTATTGAACGTTGAAGCGAAGTCTAGATCACATATCTCCGTAGAGTGATCATAAAACAAATTCATCTCGCTTGCGCTCTCGGAGAGAAAACTCAATCACTTGTGCAAGCTTCGGGGCGCGTTCCCTAAAACTTTACGACTCCAATAAGCCAGGAAACGAAAGTCTAATTTTCCATCAAAAAGTCAAATTCCACAACGATAACTTTACTCCCCGTCTTATTTTTTTTTTTACGATCAGTACGCCTGCACTTTTGCACGTGTGCCAAATGAATGAAAAAAAAGGGGTCGATCTTGCTATCACGAGTCCAGAACTTTCGTGAATGGAGATAACTCACGTGAGTCGAGAGTCTTTGAGTTGCATCTAGTTAGTTTTTTATGTAAATTATTTTTGCAGTGATATGTCTGTTCAACATTTCGTTAAGATTCGACTTCTTGAATTTTGAAAAAAAGGAAATATTGTAAAATTACGTTAATTACCTGTGATTTTTATTTCTGAGAGTTGCAAATTCAAATGTTAACGCCTTTTCCAAAAAAGCGTAGCTTAATTGAACGGCTTGTTGAATGATTTCAAACGCGAACAAGCATGAGTAGCAAATAAACAGTTTTGCAAAAAAAAAGAAAAAGAGAGTTTACGAAAATGAAACTAGCATAAAGCTTAAAAGATTTACGTTCGTTACGTCGGGGATACAAAGACATGCAACAACGGCAGCATAAAAAACGTACCTTTCTGTTTATTTGCAACATAGTGGCTCGACTGATTGCGCAAAGCGATAGCTCTCTTTTTATTTTTAATCCTCTCGTTGCGCGTCGACATCGATGCACTCATGGATGAAACGACGACGATTATAATTATTTTTTTATATGTTTTAATCCTCGATGATAAAAGCGAGCTGGTTTTAAAAGAGAAAGTCAATTGCGATGAACTGACCATTAAGCGTGAAAGCTTTTGCTATTTCACTTTTTTTTAATGATTTAGCGATATCCAGGAAAAGTTTTATTATGCATGCAGCCCTTGATGTTTATTCCGAGTTTTTCGAAACTTTTATCAAATCGAAAGAAAAAAAATGTTTTCAATATCACTGCTCTGGCTTTTAACTCGCATATTTTTTCAATAACTACGATTGAAATTGAAAAGTTAGAAAACAAGTAAAAGACCTATGAAAGAGGAATACTCATCGACGATAACGACGATACTATGTCGCGCGTTGACTTAAAGCGCTTGCAGTGAGATTATTATCCCGTAGAAAACTGATAATCTTGTTATACTGTGCTCTCTTTTTCTCTCGTATTCTCCCGCTTCGACCTCTAACGTGCTTTTACCAAGAGCTCGACGGCTGCGAGGCGAATCTCTCGTTTCTTCGATTTCCTCTCAAAGAGTGATTTCTGTATTGGTGCTGTGGGGACGAAGAAGATTACGGGGAAATAGTGTAAGGAGGAGATTATAGTGAACGAGGTTAAGTGACACTCCAACACGTACAGTGCCGTAAATTTCTTGTTTATGAATTATCGTGGCTGCTTGGGGTTTTCCCGTTTGGTAACATCAATTTGTTAATGATCTCTCTTCATCGACGAGTTAAGTCTAATAATAGATTCGCTTTTTAAAATAAATTATCCGGTCTTTTGCTAATAACTATTTTTTTATCAGCAAGGTTAATTACTCGATAACTTCCACGTAAAGCGTTAATCCGTCTGTCAGATTCGCGTAAAATAAGAATAAATAAGACGAATAAGCTATTGACAAGACAATTTGATAATAAGCGTCTAATCACCAGATCATTCGCGCATCTAAACAGACAAAAGCTTGTCGAACAAAGCCAAGCGGTAACATGAGCCAGCTGCATAATTCCAACGGAACAATCGTAGCTGCAAACTCCCTGGTGTACGCGCGAGTGAAAGCATGGCAATTAACGTAACGTTACGCGCGGAGATTTACATATTCGACTGAGCTTTCGAACGCCAGCTAAACTGGTAGCAATTATTTCAACGTTTTGCGCGCGCCCTTTGTTGCGTGATCAGCGAGTATTTTGATCTTATGCACGCGAGAGAGAAGGAGAGAGGGAGTCGACGGATCACCCGTGTTAAGCTTAGATGTGCGAGGTTTGGAGAACTCGTGCGGTGAGGATTAGGGAATCGAAAGTGTGAATGATTCAACTGCGGTCTATCTAGATTATTGATGAGTTATGCTCGTGGGAAAGGATTCAAAATTTCACGGGATAAAAGAAGTGAAAGTATTGCGCAATTAATTGGTTATTGTTCGGCGGAGGAGCTACTGTTGTGAAGATGAATGAGTTACGAAGGTTTAATTGTTTTACTCTCTCTCTCTCTCTCTCTCTCTAGTTGCTTGAAATTGAGATAGTTTCGCCGAGGTATATGAAGAGCAGAGAATTAGAAGGGAATTTCCTTTTGCAAAGGGGTTTACAAGTGTTTCATTGCGAAGTTTTCGGAATGAAAGTTAGTCTCTTGGGCATTATAAATGATTTCATTTAAATTCACGAGTAGAGTCGTTGTCGAGCGAAAAATTTGGCATTACTTTGTGCATTTCAGGTGCGTAATTGAAGCGCGAGGCGCCCAAAAGTTTGCCGAATAAGCGGAAATTCGAATGCCATTGTAAAAATGAGATGACTCTCGCCGCATCGATCGCCAAATGAGCACCGCTTATCTCAACAGCGTAAGATCACGTCGAGGATTATTTATAGAAACAGTAGACAATTCCTCAAAGGCAGAGCGCCCTTAGTAATCCAATCGATAAGTAGCTTACAGCCTAACAATACAGATCAGACGCTAAGAAGCAGATATCGAATCGATCTGTCTAATGGTCGACGAACGTTATCCCAGAGCGCATTTGGATCAATTATCTCCTGCGATGGACAATGCCTCTGCGAACCGCTGCTGCTACCGAGTCTGGGCACGTTGCAGGTTGAATACGACCGCACTGTACCGGATGCCCAGCCAAAGAACGCCCACTTGGGGATTTCGCATCTTTTTTAGACTATCCGAGCGGCAGCGGAGAGACCAGTTGATTCAGACTGCAGACGTGTGAAATGCTTACTTGAAAAATAAAAAAATATTTGCTGAGAAGCTCGACGTAATCGACACGTTTCACGGCCGGAATAATTCAAACGGCCGCTACCAACTAGCTCGTACGTATGTCGCATCGCTTGCATTCCTTCTATCCGATATAATTCATTTTCTCTCATAAAAAACAGCCGGAGAGAAAGAGCGCCTTCGTTAAAAAGTTATTATATTTCTTAATCAAGCTAGCGCGCCACTAAATCATCATCGTAAAGCCGCACGATGAAACGAGCTAGAGGCGAGTCATAAACAAAGGACCGCCGGTATCACATCGGGAGGGGGAAGACGTTAAAAGAACGACGAGCTGCAATATTAACGAGCACTCGCCAGAGAGAGAGAGAGAGAGAGAGAGAGAGAGAGAGAGAGAGAGAGAGAGAGAGAGAGAGAGAGAGAGATGATGGACTCCGGGTGTCGTCACTGTCACATAAACGTTAATATACGTTGTGGTTGTGACACTCGCGCGGCACCGGAATATACGCGGCTAAAGTTTGATGAAAGCGCGCGCGGAGATTCGTCCTTCTCCCCTCCTTTTTTTTCTTTGTACGTGTGGATACATCCCAGCTTCGCCGGTAGCGCGGGTAATTATCCAAGGGCTTTTTCGAGTGTGGTGACCGAGAAGGTATAAAAGTAATTCAGACGTTTTACGTCTGCCACTGGCATTTGCGCTTTAGTTGACTATCTCGTGATTTTGCTTTTTACATCGTCTACTGTTTTTTTTTATGACGAATTATTTTATTTTATTTTCCATTAGTTCTGGTTGGATATAATTTTTTTGTTTCTTGACTTTAATGCCAGATACTTACTATATTCATCGTTTGTGTCTACTTTATTAAATTCACAGGAAATAAATAGGATTCCGACCAACGGCCCATTATATTGTTCTCTTTTACTTCTGATTGAGCAGCGATTGTTTGTTGATAAATTGATTAAAATTTCCACCGCTGTCATACGAACTTGTGATTAAAAAATCAATTATCTTTGCCAAAGGTTATTCGAAAATCATGAAATTGTAAAACCTCTACAAAAATTTTATTTGTCCATTGAAAATTTTTCAGGAAATTATTTCATCAATCAATCAACAAATAAAAAGGAGAAGAAAGAAAGAGAGTTGGGTTGACTTCATAAAACATACAGCATTCGATTCGCTGGTCGGCACGTAACAAAGCGAAAAATTCACTGTATTTGCATGTAAACAAAAGCGCAGCAGGAGTAAAAAGCAAATGGGGGAGGGGCTCGGACCGTTAAATAAATATAACGAGAGCGACTTGGCGGACATCCGTCCGGCGCAGAATTCGTTACAGTAGCAAGGCAACAAAGCTATCGAGGCAAAAGCCAGAGCGCGACTTGCGTATGCATGGAGCGCCTTCTCTCGCTTTCTCTCGTCTGCATATAGCTGGGGCGCGTTAATACGGGAATACTCGGGGGAGGAATGCCGGGTGTGTACTCTGGAACTTGCCGAAATACCTAGATCCTTGGCCCCTTCCACTCCGACCTCCGCAAGCCAGGAAATTGCGATTATTGGTATGTCGACGCTACTGTGTTCGCGAGTGCGCAGCGTGCGTATGTACGTGTGTACGGACGCAAGATTGCATTGTTTGTTTTGGACTTGTTTGCCGGTACAGTTTGACGAGGATTGAATTCAACGCGTGCGCATACGGCTTTCCTCCGAGCTTCCGCGTGAGGAATATGGATGATGCTACGGTAAATGGAACATCAATGCGAATTTCAAGTCAACGTAAAAACGAAATGCTCTTTAATAATTTTTGTGAGTTCCACAATTTCAAGAAAATCAACGTACTACGTTTTTATGATAAATAATCTGTAGAATTTTATAAAACTACAACGTTTAAAGTAAAAGTCTTTTCAAAAACCGAAATAGCAAACTTTAACTTCAAATACAGTTCACCGACCGCAAAACTTGATAACAAATAAATAAGAGCGTTAAGAGTGGTAAGTAACTAAAAATAGTTCGATCTTTCACGAAGAACAAACGGGTCACGCCAATAGAGACATCCTCATCGATATGGCTGCTAGTCGAACATTTCTTTCTCCCGGTAGTATAGCCGAACGCAGAGACAGGAAGAGGAAGCGTAGAAAACCCGCATGAAATTTATGGCTTTCCTGCGGCCGATTGGCCCCCGAAGATCGCCAGCTTCGCTCCGGAGACAAGCGATATTGTTACGTTCTGTCTTGTTCTCCCGCTGCGTCGCGCGGATCCAATGTTGCCCTCTTGTAGCTACCACGCTTAGCTTCTTCTTTTTTTCTTCTTCTTTTTCTTCACCCTTGCGCCAGATATGTGACGTGCTCGTGTACGCGCGGAACATTTTTTCCACCGAGTAAGGTCTTTTTACGCGTGTGCCAGTCGCAACCGAATGAACGAAAATGGAGTGATATTTACATTTCAACTCCAGTGGAAATTTTCCACGCGACTATCGTCGCTTTTTAATTCCCTTTCCGTCGAACTATAGATCTCCCCCAATCAAATTTTTCGAAAATAAGTTGCTGGTGTCTAAAAATTGTTTGCATGTGCCACGTTCATTCGATCTAATAGTGAGCGTATTCTTTCCTTCTTTCTTATTTTTTTATGCAGAGGATAGAGAAAGAGAAAAAAAAGAGGAACCCACGCGATATTTTCCCAATCTTTCATGGCTGACGTTTCCCGACGCGTGAAATTCTTTTTGTTCCTTTCGTCTACAGCGTATATTAATCGGATATTTTATCAATTCTCCATCAGCGTTCTTCTTCCAAACTGATGCTATCCAAATGTTCATTGCGTTTTCTAATGAACAGATAAAAATAAAGACAATTTTCTCGCGAGACGGTGAATGCCATGATTGATGAGAAGATGACTATATTTATCAGTGAAAACAAACTAGCGATTTTTTGTTAATTAATTATCTTACGCATCTTTTTTTCTTTGCAGCTTATGAGACTTTGGCATTTGTGACAACGTGTCATTTGCCAACGCGATACTTATTATTTTCCAAATTCATCGTGGGCTACGTATGCAGAGAATAAACACACACGAATTGTTGTTGACGATATTCCAGTATTATTTATTCGGTCATTAATCCTTCCGTAAAAGCAACGAAACAGCGCAAATTTCTTTTTCTCCACTAACTGACGTCGCAATTAAAAAACTATTAGAAGCGTCGCGCGCTCGCGTCACGAAAATATTAATTTTACGTGAATCAAGCTGTCGAAGCGACCTGTTAACTTGATATATTATCCAACGAGGTGGCTTTTTTTCTGACAGCTTCGTTTATTCTCGTAATATTTGACGAAATCGTTCGCGATCAATCGGTAGAATAAAAATTAAATCTGAAAATGCTCGGGCGAAACCGATCGAGCGATTTTAAAAAGAGGAGGAACACATCTATTGAGAAACGCGCTTATTGGAAAAGCGAGAATCCTTGGAAACTCGTCGAAAAGTGAAGAACGCTAGGTAATTTGTTTTTCCAAGCGAAGAAGTCCTTTATCCCCCAAGACGATCGAGTTTCTTTTTTTTTCTCTGCTCTCTGCTGCAGAGGCGCTCTCATACTTTCATTTGGTTTTCCGTTTACTAGTTTTCTCTATTTCTCATCCTTCTCAGCAGAGGAATGGTGCGCGTCCCGCAATTTGCTGCAGTCTCGCGACAGCCGTTCGATAGCAGTTAGAGAGATTGATTGGCTCGGTTATCTCTCTCTCTCTCCCACTCTCTCTCTCTCTCTCTCTCTCTCTCTCTTTCTCTTGGGTGGAGGTAGTGGCGACGGCGAGCGAGAGAGAGGAAAAATAGAGGGCATTAGGCAAACGACGTGGTGTTCTTTTTTTTTTCTTGTCAGATGGCTGTGCCGAAAGTGTGGCAATCCCAAACGAAAAATGCTTGCCGACGAAGGAGCAGAGAGAGGATGAGTGAGAGAGCTTTCACGAGAGCGTTTGTTTTTTATCTCGCAAAGCTTTTTCTTTTTTTTTCATCAAGAAGAAAGTCGTGATTAGTGTGTAATTAAAGTGACTAAAGGTCGATGTTATTATATCTTTAATTGGTTGATTGTTATTTTGATAATTATAGCTTTGCATTTATTAAAATGTGATTAAATGCGAAAGCCGAAAACTTCAATTTTCACTTCGTTGAGAAAAATACCTTTTTATGAATACATAAAATGATAATATCACTGTCGAAAAATCTTACCTTTTGTAATATGTTTGTGAACAAAAAGTTTTGGGGTCTTTCTTAAAGTAAGTTTATTAAACTAAAAGTAAGTATTGTGATATTTGTAATATTTGTCAGTTATTTCGTTTAGAATTAGATTTGCTCGAATTAAAAGAAAGGATGAAATTGAATCGCAATTTTCTCCTTCTCCGCTGATTTTTATATAAAATATTAAGCCCTTTCCTTCAAATAAATGTCCAAATTTATATATTTTAAAGCGAACTTACCGCATGCTGCGGGTAATGGTACCGCTGTGATGTATGCGAATGAACTCGTTACTGGTGGTTGCCACGTGAAAATAGGACTGCTTCTCATTGACGAAGAACGTGTCCGGCACCCAGATGTTTTTGATGAACTCCGAGCCAACGCTCAGCGTCTCGACACCTCGGCGTTCTTTGAACGCCAACCGTGGATCCGTCCAAAATTGTCGGAAGTAAAAATCCAGCGTGAAATCCTAATTGATCCAGCATAAATTTTGATTGATTAATCATAATGTTTGGTTTCCTCCAGTATGGATTTTCAAAGCTTGTTTTTCGAAACATATTTATTTTATTAGAGTTTCTGTATTTTGCTTATACTGAAGTTAATTTATAATCCACAATCCTTTACATTAGTATTTATACGCATATAGAATGTTCGCCAAAGATAATTTAAGATTAGATATGTTTCGTAAAACGAAATATTTACAAGTACAAATTTACATCATGCTTTCCACTCATATACACGTATTTCCAGTATTTATGCTGTTTTTTATTATAAAGTTATTCTTCCATTCAGATCACACAACTATTGTTTGAAAATTTAATGCTACGAAAAATGTAAAATAATTATTTATTGTCAGTTAACAATTTTGTATTACAAAACGTTATTCCTTATTTGAATAAAAATATACTAAACTTTACAAATTAAGTAGCTTTGAAGCAAACAAAGTATACAATCATACAATATAAATAAAACAAGGAATTGTCTCAGGAATTCCCTTGGGTGTCACTTTGGATTTGAATTTACTTTTTTTCTTGTTTTTGCTTTATTAGCAAGATATTCTCTCTCTTTGAAAGGAGAGTTTTCCTTTTGAGCGTAAGAGAAAAATAACAAAGTGTCCGTTTGTAAGCGGACGATTGTGGCACAGTTGAGCGACAACATATACAAGAAGAATACGAAGATATTTAAATAGTATTGCTTGCGTAAAATATACCAAAATAAATATACAGATAAAAGGGATGACAACTTGTATTGGTGGCACTCGATCAGATGACTGATTCGTAGCTAATCACTTTTTTGTTCTAGTATTCGGATTTGAAAATTCTCCTAAAAGAAAATGTCGAGCTAAATTTTTTAATTACGAAATTTTTCTGAATAACTCTGCTGTGAAAATTTTTGCACGATCGCAAAAAATAAAAATAGAATAAAATAATAATAAACGAGCTCCCAGGCTACTCAAGTTTACTGAGTCGATTTTACCATGGCGGCGGCGTTCCCTCGAGCGATTCGTTAAAATGCAAGTATATAGCCTCGATGCTACACGAGAGCTAGACTCTCGGAATCTAAGCCCCCTCTCCCTTTCAGTATAAATGGGAGGCACTCTCGTTCGATACTAATTCTTACGAGTCCTTTAATCGGCACTCGCGATAATTTTACTAGGGAAGAGAGAGAGAGAGAGAGAGCGAGAGAGAGGGAGAGAGAGAGAGAGAGAGAGAGAGAGAGAGAGAGAGAGACAGAGAGAGAGGAAAATTGAGGCCGTGTGCAACGAGGAAATGTGGAAATTCTAATGAATGCCGAAGAAGGATTAGAGGGTGAATTGTCGGCGAAAAATGTACATGAGAACGTTTTCTGAATTGTTAGGACTTACGTATATTCTTATAATCTTATTAATCCTACTAATACCGTCTAAGTTCAAACAGTAATTTCTTGTTAGAACTCAAAGTAATAATGATTGAATAAAGCGCGAATCCATAGTCCAAGTTTATGGATGAAAATTTCGAGTTTCATAATAAGCGGGCGGCATCGAAACTTAGATCTAGAAGAGGAAATGAAGGGGCAGAACGCGTCATCAATATTTTGAAAGCTCGAATCACTGAAGCTTGTCGTGAAAAGAGTATAAGGGTAAAAGTTTTAAAGCCACGACGAGCGTCAGCGGCGGCAATTATAGCGAGGAAAGAGGCACACAAAAAAAAGAATACAGAACGTTATGAGGTCTACGTGCTCGCTCAAGGCGCTTCACCGTCGCCGCCACTGGCTTATCGGCATGATTTGCGAGCCAACTTGAATTTAAAAAAATCCGATCTCTTTCAGGGTTGGCCATCTGTCATTTCTCTCTTCTTCGCCAGACTCATCATTTCACGTACCTATAGCGTTGGTTATTCTCTTCAAATGTGAATGCCAGGAGGGTATATTTAAACATTAAATCGAACTGATTGCGCTGGCATTATTCGTTAATTGTACGATTTAACAATCATTTTTTTCAAAGATTTGGTCTCGTAGTTGCGATTGATACTGGGATTGAAAAAGAGCTAGAGAAGAGAACCAATTGAGATTAAAAAACGGCAACGGTTCAGCCAAGTGAGAAGAGTAGCGAGAACTTGGCAATTTTCAAATCGGCGTCGTGCTGGTAGCGTTAGAAAACTTTCTCGGCACTATACTATTTTCCGTTTAAGAAGGGAGGGAAGAAGTATAACTCGTCGGGAGGAGCCATGCAAAAAATGACCCCATCAATCTCTCGGGACGGCGCGCGCGCAAGCGTTGCACCGAGCCAACGAACTTATACGAATCAATCGTTGCGCCGAATCGAGTGCCACGGAGCGCAAGTTCCTTCCCTTTTCTCTTCTTCTCTTATGTACATCTACAATGCATCATTTGCACAGAAGCAGTTACCAGTATTCGACTTTATTGCCAGACAATAATGACTCACAGAGAGACAGATTATCAACATAAAGAAATAAATAAAGTGATCAATAAGGGTCAAGAGCTCAGCTAACTTATTTAGCGAGTGTATACATCTATAGATATATAATTTGGTTTTGGTATAGAGTAACACCGACGATAATTGGTTCCGACCGTTTTTTCAGGTCTTTCTTTTAAATTCTGTATCCGTCAAGAGGAATTCAGCAAGAGGAAAAACATAACACGCACATTTCCAATTCATCGAGCAAAGAAGAGGTTTCTTTTGAACACATATAAATTTCATCTTCTAATTCCTCTCGGCGTTATATAGCGTGGGGTCGTGTTATCCCACGAATAGCATGTTATCATTATTTTCCTCTGGAAGATATTTTTTCGTTTTCGAGGAAAAGAGAGCTATAGATTCCTGCTCGGCAGAATAAAAGCACACGCACGCACACAACGGGAAAAAGAAAACAAACAAACGAACAAACAACGGGGAACTACACTTCCCGATATTTTATCACTTTTTTCTCCGGTTAAAAAATTGAAATAAGAAAACGAAAAGAACTTGGTCGTAGATTTAATTTGTAGGAGAAACGTGTTTGTCTGCGTTGGACATGACACTCGTGCAGCATGCTTGAACAACACACATGGTATGAGGACCGAGTCTCTCTCTCTCTCTCTCTCTCTCTCTCTCTCTCTCTCTCTCTCTCTCTCTCTCTCTCTCTCTCTCTCTCTCTCTCTCTGACAAGCATGCACCCAGGAAATGTATACCTTGGACTGTCTGTGTACCTGGTGCTTGTGTGATTAAGCATAAGTTACGAGCTTCTCTGCGCGTCTGTGTCCGAGTGTGTTTATATATAGCGCAATCATTACATAAATGCTCTTTCTCGCAAAGGATGGATAATGATGTGTAATCAGAAGACATACATGCACAAACAAAATACTAAGTTTTCGCGTAGTTCATCTGCAGGAGAATCACATGAATAATTCAATCGATCGATCAACAATCGATGTATTTAATTAGTCAATTAACGAGATGCATCATTACGCTGGACAGTCATCCCTTTGATATAGATTGCGGCACGAGCTGTCCGTACATTTGCACGCGTGAAGTCAAGTTGTATACATGTATAGAGACGTGTGCATAGACGAATGATCTCTGTGAACTTCGTCTTGAGTTTCCGAGGGATGTACGCGCGTATGTTGCGCGTTAATATACGAGCCAACGTGTCAACGGCTGCCTCGGTTACAACATATCTTTGCCAGATATGTTTATTTCTAAGAGAATCTTGCTGCTATGAACTTGGAATTTCGAATTAATATTATTCCAAATTATCAGTCGTACTACGTCATTCAAAGCGGAATCCTCAAGTTACATCTGTTGACACTTAAGCTCGTTATAACGTCGAATCGTATATACAATTTGCTTCCAATTAATATTCTGATCTAAGCTTTCAATGCGTATATATATGTGAAGGGTAAGCTGAGACTGCGTGTATACTGTCTACGCAGTCAAATGAAACTACTCGTTGTGGTAAATGTAATATGCAGGGAGTTGATGTATACTAACGTTTATGCTGCATATAGATACATAAAGCACAAATAGTAATTCTAATGCTCGATACCCGCTAAACCTGTATAATTTTCATTTGCATTGAATTAAAAAGACAGTTGAAATTGACCAATTCGATTGCCTTGACTAAAATTACTTGCAAAGGCTCTAAATATTCAGTACCATAATTTCATGTTAATTTTGGTGACACAATTGGACATTCTCTTTCATCCTGAAATTCTCGCTCACGGCATATCAAATTTCAGCTGGAAATTATATCCCCATCTCTCACCTTGCATTACCTAGATTATCATCGCGCGCAAGCTCCCCCCCCCCCCCTACCCTCCATCACTAATAAACTTCACACGCTTCGTCTCTTCTTCAAAGGCTTCAAGCGTCCAAGAGAGGGAAAGCGACGCGTCGGGAAATCGCGTGTGCATATTATACCGTCGACGCTTCGTCAACGTCGTCGTCGTCATCTTCTTTCTGTTTCACTCGTGAATTTCGTTTCTTTTCGCAAGCTGATCTTTTCATTTTCCTTCATTTTCTCTTCGTAGCGTTTCGCAACTTGCGAAGGTTAGATGTAAGGTAGTTAATTGGCGATGGTTGATATTACATGTTTCATCGAGATGTAGATTGTTTTGTTAGTTTAGTATGGCTTTTTTATGAGAACTTACTTTATTGAACATTACATTACAGAATTTATGTCTTTTTTATCTTTTACTATGTATAATTCATATCTTAAAAAAATTCGTTATTTACTGAACAATTAAATCGGCGTAAATTTCTTCTTTTAAGTATTTCTTCTTTTTTCTTGTGTTATTCTTTTCAAATGTACAAAACTTTGTCAGTACATATCGCTACTGTTTTCGTAAAAATGAACTCTAAGAAAAAGTATCCAAACCTTACAAGCGTACAAGGATAATTTACTCGTTTAGTACAAAAAAGTTTTATTGACTCTCAACAAAAAACATTTTCAATTTAAAGCTCTCGATTTTTAGCTAACCACAGCAGAGATT